GGGAAGCAGCTGGCCTGTAGCCATTCTTCTGTAGCCTGCCCAAAGTCCATCCTGGTAGATCTCTGTCCTTGGGGAAGGAATGTTGGTCAATTCAGCCTTGCCTGAGTCTATACAAGTTACCAGGAGGGCCAAGGTGTTACTGTTACTTTGAAAGCCTTTGTAGTTTGGAGAGACCCTCATGAGCACTAAAATACTGTATTTGTTTGGGTAACAACTGCCCAAGAATGAGTATTGCACCTTTAGTTGCTGCCTATGAAGTTACATTTACAGAAAATTTGAGTAGAAATTTGGCACAGATCTGACTGAGTCTAGAGCTTAAAATGAGATTACCCTTTGGAGAAAAACTTCATTTCATTTGCATGCCAAGTGGCTGGATGAAAACATATTTCCATTCAAACCAAGATATTAGAGCTATTGCAACCAGCTATGCTGGGAAATCTCCTTGCTATTTGGAAGCAGCTGTTAATCCATCATTTTGGAGCGTGATGGGCACAACTGTCTGCCATAAAAGCCTGGATGAATCTGTTGAACAAAGCTGAAGTTAGAGTAGTCCATTCAAATGCCTTTTTTTTTTTCTGGTGGCAGGATAGATATGAGTTGTAATGCCTGTTCATGCAAATACTAATACCCAAATATAGATAAAATACACTTTTTCTTCCTCAGGTATTGTACTCTCAGAAACTTAGGGAATCATTTCATATATAGCATATGGGTCTTGGGGTTATTCTCAGAGCTGACATTTCAGTTCCTATGAAGAGCTTTGTTGGAAGTGAATGTTATACCTTTATTTATTTTTGCTTGGAGCACATATTTACAACCTCCGTTTCGAGTCTGATGGAGTAAGCATTTATGTCTTTTTGAAGTGTTTTCAGAAAAGACATGCTTGCTTTTGTCAGGAGGAGAATGTGCAACTTTTTTTTTTCTTCTTTTTTCCCCTGGATTATTTACATTTTGCCTCATGTTTTTTGCTAAAACAGACAAGTTCAGAGGATGTGGCATAGTAACCAGAGGGCTGCTTTCCTAAAGATTGGTCCTCATGGAGCAGTTTAGAAAACTAATAATTAGCATCAGTGTGCTCAAAGGAAATTTACATATTAATGTGCCCCACCACATGGTAATTCTTGGTAAATCATGGTAATTCTTTGGGAGCTCTGGAAGTTTACAAGGAAGCTGACAGGCCTAAGCAGACTCCAGTGGTTCTTCCAAGATAATTGTAACAGTACTCTAATTCCTAATCTTGACAAGTTTTCCTCAGGTTTTACAGACACCTTTACAGACACCTTAAACACATCCAGGGATGGTGACTCAACCACCTCCCTGGGCAGCCTATTCCAGTGTCTGACCACTCTTGCTGTGAAAAATGTTTTCCTAATGTCCAATCTAAACCTCCCCTGGTGCAGCTTGAAGCCATTCCGTATTGCTCTGCTGCTAATTACCTTTGGTTGGGAGGTCTCTAGCAGACTCCCACAACAATATCAGCTTTATTGGCCTGTAACCTAATCCAGACACTCCCAACCTCATCATGACTGTACTTGATTTCCAAGCTCTCACAGCATTCTTTCTTTTCTTTCTTGCAAAGACCAAGTTAGCAATTACTTTTGATGTCCCAGATTGTCTTCCACTAAACTTAGCCCATCTTTTCTGCTTTAACTTTTTCTTTATTATTTTATTGTTGTTGTTTTCCTTAGATATGAACCTTAGGTAAAGGTCCCTAACTTCTCTTTTGGGGGTAGGATTTCCACCTGAGTAGCTGTGTAAGTTAGGAAATGCTATCCAGCATTGTTACTGTCGTCTTACACTGTTGATAGGGCAAACAGGAGGGCTTTTTTGGAGGGTGGGAGGCATTTCTTTATGGTCGTGCGTTACTGACCTTTTAGAGCTGCAAAAAAGTAGAGGAACCATGCAACAACAGTTAAATAAAATTGTGAGCAGAACAGTCCAGTTTTGGCAGTTTCGTCCTGGTGAAAATAGAAGTCTGCATAGGCAGGGCAGAAGTTTCTCCTCATTTTACCTGTGTCTCTTCAAATTTGCTTTGTAAAAAGCAGAATATATCACACATATTTCGCTAGGTCTGATAGTACGTTTTGTAGCTGCAATGGCTGTATGTATGCAACAGAGTTGCAATGGAGTATAATTTACACTCTTACTACAGATCATGGACTGTACACAGTACTTTTTTCATGCCCCTGTTGTTTCTCATTTGTTATTTGTTCCCCACCCATTACTTAGGAAGTAACTCAAATAATTCCTTGATTTAAAGAGAGTGGCTCTAATTTAATTTCTATTCAGATGTCTAATTTGCAAGTATTTTTTAGAAAAGTGTGTATTTCTAGAAATTGTTTCCTGAGTCAATTACATTGAAAGTTCAAGGTAAGGTTCATATAATTGAAAAATAAAAAGGGTGTCTGAAAGGGAAGAGGTAATTATTCATGCCACTGCTGGATTCCATGAGGTATTATTCTCATTAATATTCATGTTTTTGAAGGATAAAGACTTCTCTAATACAGTTGCTGTGCTGACTGGATTTCTGAAGAATAGTTTTTATAGGCTTTTGCTAATATGGGGAGGGCTTATTAAATTATTAAAAAGAGCTGACAACATAGTACTGCAGTGCATATTTTGAGAAGTCTTTTCTTGAAATTAAGGCCAAATTTTTCATAATTTCCTTACAATCGTTTTTCATTTATGGTGGGTTTCATGGACTGTGCAGTGTATTATGAATGTAATAAAAATTTACTATGATTGAAAAGTTAGTCCTGACATTTCCACTTAATTGCATGTTAAAGCAAAAAATAAATCTGTGTACAAAAGTCTTTATTCTGTAGAGACCTGTACAACTTTATAAAAGTTTAGTGAAGGCTATGCTTGTTATGAAGAATATTCAGTTTAACTTTTTTTCCCCCTAGCTCTAGTTAGAGTCCCAGGAGATACAGCAAAATGTTAAGTCTGTGCAGTAACATTAAAATGCCATTTAATGTGTCAAGGGAAACTTTGTTTTTTTCTCAGATAAAGACTTGAATAAAAGCTTTTCCTTCTGTAGTGCTTGCAGGTTTTCAAGTAGATGGAGAAGGCTGTTGCTAGCAGCAGATTATACCAGATGCTGAGTGTCCTAGGGATGTGTGCTTTGTTTACTGGAGACAGGTCCTACTGTCTTGCCTCCAGGCATTAGCTTGAGTCTGTTAGACTATATAAGTAGTGATCTTTATCCTTTTGAGTTAGTGAAGTATCACATGGTGGTATGTGACATTTTTAGGTAATGCATGGAGTAGATTTTTTTTTTTTGCTCTTTTTAACTTGGATTTGTAGAAGTAGGTGACCTCTACTGAAGTTTCAAAAAACCTTAAATATTTCTTAATGAAAGAAAAGAATTTTGGAGGCATGTTGCTAAATTTCTTTCCTAAGAAATAAACTAAGCTAGCATTTCATTACAGTTCTTTATCCACAGAAATACTGTCAAGGAAGAGATGAAAGGATTTGCATGTATATTGTACACCTTACCATGCAAGTAGAGGACAAATGAGGCTTTATATGATGAACGAAAATTTCCTGGAAAGCTCACTAGAACAAAATTGAATATTTTATAGGGATTTGCTGCATTTATATAAAATATGAGGTAATGGAAGTAATACATTTTTCTGTCTGTGTTTAGGATATTTAATTTTTTCCTTCAAAATATCTCTTTTTTAATGTGGCATCCAGCACAAAGTATTTGGCAAGATGGCCCGTGATCTCCTTTAATATTAATTTTTATGTGCTCTTGTGAGATTTCATTTGTAAATGCATTTGTCCGTGTTACAAGTATGAAGTTATAACTGCGAGTAATGGAACTGTGTGTGCTAGCAATCTGGTTTTGGTGTGGTTTTTTTTTCTTTGTTAAATTTGCATTTGCTGGAGATCTCCAGATACTCAGTGTAGCATCCTTGTTGCACTTGTTGAGCATCACTTTTTCTAGTCCATTCAGCTTGGAGACAGCTCCAGCAAGCAAAAGATTATACAATTATCTAGCAATTGTGTATTTTGGATAAGATAATTTTTTTGAAAAATGTTATGACATGTTAGCATGTTCCAACATAACAGTAAATGCTTAACGAATCCATATATTACTGGAGAAAATACGGTTTTACAAAGTTCCAGTTTGATAGAAGTCTGACAGGAGGTTGTGGTACAGCATGCAACCATGAAAGATAGTTCTTAGAGCAACCCATAATATGTGAGAACTAGCAAATCTTCTAGAATTATTCAGTGCTCTTTTTCTTTACTGTTTTGCACACATGCTGTGGTCATGTTGGGTTAATGTGTTAATGGATGATCTTTGAAATTAGAACATAAGCAGTTTTTGCATCTCGCTGTTTTGTGTGTAGCTGATGGTTTTCTTCAGGTCTTCCTGTAGTTTCAATATATTCAGTGTTGAATTCGAAGTGAGTAAAAATATCACGAGTGAAATGGAACAGCATTAACCATTTAATCTTAGTGGTTTTGTTTCCTACTTAATGCTAAGGTAGCACCAAAGTTAAGGAATTATAGAAGCTAATATCAAGACAAGTGTTTCATTATTTCTCTGCTAAAGGCAAGCAGTTAAAGCTTGAAAATGTTGTGGTTTTTTTTTTTAAGTATCTAAAAGACTGATGTGAATGGTTATTTATGACTGGTACTACATAGATATGTTCTGATCTACTGATTCCTATCCACATAGTCTGTCCATTGCATTCTGTGTAACTTTTATTGAATTGCACTTAATATCTCTGTCTCATCTCTCTTGACAGATTCTTTGCAATCATTGTGACAAATAAAGATTAATTGAACTTCGTGAGGGCTTTTGAGGTTGTACTTCTGTCCAAGATACAGTGGTAGTGGTCTCTGCAGATACTCACCAGACAGCCACATGTGCTGTAGCCTGATAGCTTCATAGGGGGTTCTTTTGGTGCACAGTACGTCTTCCTTACAGTTGAAAATTACACATTTTGAAAATACTAACATCTTGTCTGTCTGTCCTTCTTTAGGAAAGCCCAAGAAGGGAAGAAGAAAGTGGTTCTTGCAGGCTGTGTGCCACAAGCCCAACCTCGTCAGGACTACCTGAAAGGCTTGAGTATTATAGGGGTATGTGTCTTTATTAATTAGAAACCAAAGGTTTTCATAAAAGTTTTCAGTAGTTGGATTTCAGTATATAGTCTTTGCCTTTCTTTTGGAAGAAGTAGCAGAGAAGTCTTCTACCTCCATTAGTCTTCTTCCATTTTGGAACACTTAAACCTTCTTGCATCCAGGGTGATTTGGTTTGGTTGTGGCATGAATGGAGAAGAAAAGTGATACTGTTGATGGAACTGAGTTTCAATGTCCTTTATAGATTAGAAATATCCAGGCTTCATCCAGGATGATGAAGATATCCATTTCCATATTCTTTAAAATATCACAGTTTATTTATTGTAAGACAAAGAAATACATCTTCTGTTAAAATGTGTGGAGGAAGTGTAAAAGACTAGAGCATAAAAATTACACAGATGCAGCTCAGGGTTGGTGTTTGTTGTTAGTTTGCTTTTTTTTTACTTCACGCTGTTAAACAGAATGGCAAATAGCAATGGTTATTTTGTTTAAATTTGAGAAAGTCTGAAGCATTAAATCCATTGCTGACTGAGTTGTTAAACAGTTACCAAGCTTTACCTTGAAAAGTTAACCAGAAACCTTTTGCCTTCATTTGGTTAGTAAAGTGCCTTCATTATCATTTGGGATGCATAACTGAATCACCTATATAAAAGAGTCATGAAAATCCAGGAACTGAAGCACGCCTAATTAAGATTTTTTTGTTGTTCCAGCTTCAGATTAAAATTGGGTGAATTTGTAAAAGGCATGTTTGAGTTGAAGCACTGTCACTGGAATCAGTGTGAGAAAATTACAGTGAAGCTGTCCTGTATTAAGTCAGAGCATATGACTGTGCAGCACCATTTCTGTGTTAAAAGTAAAGAGGTCAACATATTTCTGCTTTGGTCTCATGAATTCAGGTTGAAACTAAGATTTTATAGGAACATAAATGTTTCAAAGCTTTCACTTTAATTAGTAGATCATACAAGATGCAGTTCTAATTAATTTAGAAATAAAGTAATAGTACATTTTACTTAGGAAGAAGATGGCTTCATTAACTGATATATTTGAATTCTTTATAGAGGTCACTTTGTGCTATTTGTATTTTAGTTAATTACTGCTGTCGCTCAAAATGTTTATCTTCTAATGTTTTCCCAGCTATGTCTTCTAATGTTTTCCCAGCTATCATTCTTAGCTATGATAATTCCTATAAATTCACTTAGTGCCCAGACCTTATATTCAGGGGCTGTCACATTATTTTTTACAGAATCATAGAAACTTCAAGATTGGAAAAGACCTTCAAGGTCATCAAGTCTTAACTGTCTGCCCTACGACCCCTAACCACTAAACCATTTCCTGAAAAGCCACATGCACCTGTTTTTTGAACAACTCCAGGGCCACTGCCTCCATCACCTCCCTGGGCAGCCTGTTCCAATGCCTCACCACTCTTTCTGTGAAGAAATTTTTCCTGATATCCAATCTGAACCTCCTCTGGTACAACTTGACCCCATTTCCTCTTTTCCTATCGCCAGTCACCGGGGAGAAGAGGCCAACACCCACCTCAGTGCAACCTCCTTTCAGGTAGTTGTAGAGAGCAATGAGGTCTCCCCTCTGCCTCCTCTTCTCCAGGCTGAACAGCCCCAGCTCCCTCAGCCTCCCCTCATAAGACCTGTTCTCCAGACCCCTAATCAGCCTGGTTGCCCTTCTCTGCATCCTCTCCAGCACCTCAATGTCCTTCCTATGCTGCAGTGCCCAAAACTGCACACAGTGCTTGATGTGCAGCCTCACCAAGGCCGAGTAGAAGGTCTGGATCACCTGCCTGGCCCTGCTGGTCACACTATTCCTGATGCAGGCCAGGATGCTGTTGGCCTTCTTGGCCACCTGGGCACACTGCTGGCTTATGTTCAGCCGGTTGTCAGTCAGCACCCCCAGGTCCCTCTCTGCTGGGCAGCTCTCCAGCCACTCCTCCCCAAACCTGTAGCACTGCTGGGGGTTGTTGTGGCCCAAGTGCAGTATCAGACATTATTGAAACTTATTGAAACTCATACAATTCGCCTCAGCCCATCAATCAAGCCTACCCAGGTCCCTCTACAGAGCCTCCCTACCCTCAACTCCTACCCAACTTAGTGTCATCTGCAAACTCCCTGAAGGTGAACTCTATCCCCTTATCCCAATCATCAATAAAGATGTTAAACAGGAACAGCCCCAGCACTGAGCCCTGGGGAACCACGGTATAGGTGGTATTGCATTGATAGTGCTGCTTTAAAGGAAGAAACAAACTTCCCATTTCACTCTGCAGTCTTACTTTACACAAATATATGCAACAGAACCGTGGGGCTCTGTTGGCTCTAAGACTCTGACTACTTAAGTGTGACTTACTCTTTGCAGCTGAGTGAATGGATTTCCTCTTGGCCCAGAGGCAACATAGTTATGTGTTCTGTAATTGCTCATTACAGTGAATATAATGATATCTACACAAATGAAGGCAGAGGGGAAAAAAGAGTGAGTCACTATCTTTTGACCAAGACTGTGGTTTGATGTTTCAGTTTAGGGGAATTTAACTTAGGAAACTTGGGGGACCTGAAGTTTGATTTTAATATTTTCGTCTTTTTAAAAAATAAAACTTTTATCCTTAAATAGCATGTAATTTCTGAAAATTACCCTCTTGTATTTATCTTAATGTTGTTACCTAGAACCAATGTTTAGTAAAAGTACTTGTAATTTTTTATTTGTTGGAGAAAGGAAAGGTTTCTGTAATGAGTTGAATTAGGCTGTTATTACAGTGCTCCCAAGTACTTTTCAATGGGACCTGAAAACACTGAAATGTGATCTTTGCAATAAGGACATTGTCTTTTAACTGTCATTGCTGTGGTAATAGTTACTATGTTATAAGTAACAGATCCCATAGCTCAGAAAGGTCTTAAACTTGAGACATAACTATTAACAGAAGCAAAGGTGAGAGCAGATATTGTCCATGTTTTCAGTTTGTATCATTAAGATTTTCTTCTTTGTTTACCAAGAGTGTGTTGTTACTGTATTAAATGGATTAGAGTTGTTATCTTACTGTTGCAACATATTTTTAATTAGGCAGTTTTAACAGAATTGAGAAATACAAAATGTTCTGTTGGCAGTAGGACATTTATTCTGCTTTAAAATTTCAAGCATTAAGAGTATGAGTTTGGAAATTTTACTTTTACTACCAGGTTGGTCTCATCTTCAACTTGGCTGATAGAGTTGATTTATTGTTGCTTATGTAAGCTCTGCTTTTTTTTGTCTTTAAAGAACAGTGTTGTCTGAGAATGTGGTTATTTACTAGCAATTATCAGTCCCTTGGGGAGGCTTTCCGAAAGCAGAGTATGTCAGAGGGCTCTTCTGCTCATCTTGTTATGATAGAGGAGGAAGTCGTGATGTAACTATCAGAGAGATTCTGGTAACTCCCAGAGAAATTCTAGTAACTCCATGCATGTTTTGGTCTGCTCTTGAGAAATACAGAACTGAACTTCCACTGTTCTTTATTTATTACTTGATTTGGTCAAAGGGACAGAAGGGCAGCTTAATATCCCTGCTGTCATTTGTGATGTTACTATCCTTTTGTGCTTCTTTAAAGTAATTGCCAGTTTTAAAAAATAATGTGGGTTGGAGCATTGTGATAGACTGTATGCAATGCAAGCCATAACATAAAATGGCAAGGTGAAAGAGCTGTGTTCTGGAAGGGGAAAGCTCTAGGTAGTAATAAATCTGCCAAATGTGAAAAGTTCACAAAACAAATGATGGTGTATTACGTAGGTTCAAAGCCATTTTTGCTCTAGTGTTTTCCACTTCAAACTCAAGTGCACATATGATTTTGCAAAGAGACGTTAACTCCAGTAGCTAAGAATTGTTCCTCACTTTTCATTGTAAGTTGCTGTGGATATGTGACTTTGTCTAGGCTGATTGTTTTGAGGGAATTACAGGGCAAAGGAAGGGAGGGACAGAGGGAATTAGTGGACAGGTTATGTCCTGGGACTTATTGGAAGGATGTAGATAGTTGTAGTGTTTCCTCACTTCCTGAGTTGCCTACCAGGGCATGCAAAACTCTTGTTCCAAATGATGAGTTGAACCATTGGAGTGGGGTAAGATGCTTTGTTTCTTTGATGCACACCTGAAGTTTTAAGGTACTTGGTATCCAAGTGATGCTATGTGTTCAAACCTCTGAACACTTGGCTGAAGTTTTATAGGCCTCAAGATACTTGAAAAGCCTGATGTATCTGTACTTTGAAATCATTAGACTTATTGCACATGCTGAAATCATGGGGCCTAATGCACATGTGTATCCTGTAAGACTCGCTCCGCAGATGAACAAATCTTGTGTCTTCCTGAATGGGAACATCAACCTCAATTCTCTTTCCTTCTCCATGTTACTCAATGTAACAGCTAGCATAAAAGACCTGTTATCTTCCACTGTACACCCATTTCCCAAGAGAAAAATTTCAGCCCATTCTTCCATCTACAGAAAGTATATCAAGTGTCACCAAGACCGCAATCCCCCCTCTGCTGCTGCGCTCCAAGTCAAAGGTGCAGGTCCCATGCATGGTAGAGTTACTGCAGGCACTTTGGTCAAGTTGAGCCTGAAGCTACTGCTTCCAGGATAAGCATATAACTATGAAAAACTCTCTGCAGGGACTCCCTGCATTCCCCTGACCTCCCAGTAGTCTTTTTCTATAGCTGTTCTGCTCTATAAAGCAAACTTTGGGTAATTTTTTTAATATCCAGTTTGAAACTGTGGAGTGTGAATAGTGAAAGTGCTGAACACTTGCAGTAGCAGCACTAACACTAGGAACACTGCTATAAAATATATGTTTGGTATTAAAAATACCTTAAAAAAATAGGCACTTGACTTCTCATGCTGTACATCTATAATTGGTATACACTTTTAAATTTGTGTCTTAGTTCTGCCTTTGTAATACTGTTCAGTGAGCAGAGCTTTAACAGTGCCATGGTGAAAGAAAATCAGTGTAATCTTACCAAAATGCCAAAGGTCTGTACATCCC